TAGCTTTTTCGGCTTCCGAGTTAACAATTTCCACGCAAAAACCTTTACGTGTCCGTACGCGAGACTTGGGGTAATATGCGAGTAAGAAACATTGCCATAAAGTTTCAACTTCTAGCTTTTATACTTCCCGGATTTTTTAGGCGCTAAAACTTCACGTTATCGTACGCGGAACCTAGGCGTACACGAAATTTGAGTTTGTGAGATCACACGCAAATATAGGGTTTTTCGTTAAAATTTCACTCCCTAGCTTCTCGGGTTTCCGAATTGAAATTCGCGGATAAAATGCACACGCAACACACACTGATACAAATACACACAGCGTTTTTGGCAAGTGCTGCAATACAAAACCTATAAAAAAATCATGTTCGGCGTACCAGTAGCATGTACTAGAGGGCAAGATCATCTGTTTTTGCACTGTTTGCTGTGAGCGAATGGCTGGAGGATGAGATAACTACATGCAACAGGCGACTCAATGATGAGTTTAACCGCCCGTGTGGGCTCCCAGATGATCGGACTAACGGTTTGATCACTTCTTGAAGTATAACATCGGATGAAACTTTTTGGCCAGAGAATGCAAATGAAATGCTGTCAGTATCGAAAGCCATTTTCGATAATTTGCATTACCATGTAGTCGAAAAGTCAATTTTGAGTTTGTAACTTTTCGCGTTTTGTAGTTACAAAATTGTCTTCATCTGCAGTGAAATAGTAGATCAAATCAACGTAAAATTCGTAGAAGAATTTTAGGTATTTCACCTCCTTTTGAGGCAGAAAACCGGTGAAAGTGTCTTGATTCAATTCATTTTTGAGTGCTAGATTCTGTCTATAAAAATGTTTGCAGTCTAGTACTTAACGAATGATTATGATCTATAAAAGCGAGTATTCTTAGCTTATCAGTTCAAAAATTCGGAGAAATGAAAAAACATAAAAAGATACGTAACAATGCGTTTTCGAAATATCCAAACATAAAGCAAATTTAATGGAAAAGCACTTACAAAAATGAGCATAACGATCAAAGCGGTAAAATAGCTTGCTCGTGGGCTACCCATAGTGACAAACCGATAGTGCTCACCAGTAATCATATCACGCAAATATCCTGCAATTTCTAAAGTAGCACTTTTTTTTTTTGTTTAAATGCAACAGGTCTTCCGTGTTTGCGAACTTCGAATTACTGGCAAGCTTCGAGTTCAAAGAAGATGCATTCTGTTAAATACTTATAGTGCTAAAAATGGGAGAGTGGAAAACCAAGCCAGTATAACGTAAAAGTTAAAAACAGCAAAAGCTGAGAGTACAAACTGAAAGTACTGCGTATGTTAACTTACCTT